AAATTGAGTATTATTGATGTATAAACGTATTATAATATGAATGTGCAAAATATGTATTAGCCGAAGTGAATAAGATAAAAACAGTATTTTTCATGTATAGGAAGAGAGAGTTAAGTTATAGATTTTACATTGTGTTGCCGGTATGAATTAGCGTCTTGTTGTAACAATTATTGAAAACCAAGTTATAAACATCTTGAGATATTTAAAGAACATGCACAATAAAATTTACTTTACAAATTTTAGCTGCGCCATTTTTAAATAAAGAAAAAAAGTCATTACATACAAAAATATGGATAATCGTACTGATTTTAAAATTATATGACAGCAAGTAAAAATACTAAAAAATAAATCACTTTCATTGTGTGTAGTCAAAACATGTTTTGCTGAAAAATTATCTAAACAAGTACATTTTCGATTAATCTCTTTTTAGTACTTTAAAAGCCTTATTTCACAAAAGTATTTACCTCATTTTTTTTTTACTTTTTAACAATTAAAAATTAAATTGCAAAGATAAATGTAACTTGAAACTGTTTAAATGAATACCTTTATTTATTTTTATATATCATGTATTTATTAGAGGTTTTAGTTTAAGATCAGATAATTAGCGAGCGCTCTTAACTCTAGACGACACACCTGTCTCATTAACGTCGGTCACTAAGTCTCAGGTGTGTAAACTCACGATTACATCACACCAGTCTCCCCCCCCCCCCCCACCCCTCTCCCAAGTGGTTACAGCTAACTTCGCTACCGACTCTAGAAAAATTTAAAATATATTTAAAATAATTAATGATGTAATATCTAATTAGATTTGAAATTATATACTCTTGCATTGTCATTGGAAATAAAAATTTCTGGAAAGATTGAGTTACTCGATTCAACAAGAACCCCACCAGAGACGGAAGATTTAACTAAAGTAAAAACAAAACAATACATATTAAACATCCGCGCCTCACCGCCAGAAATGAGAGGCTGAGCAAATTGACAGGCTTTTTCTCGGGCCACGGTGTGACGTGGATGCATGCATGGTCATCTGGGGATGTAGACCAATGGTCATTTATGGTGTAAAAGGTGTTCAAATAGATATGAACAAATGTATGTATAATGGGGATGTTAGTTCTTGATTGTTAATGTTTTAAACGTATTTTAAAATAATAATTTGAAATTAAGAAAAATAAAAAAATTAAATTAATAGGACAGTGAACATTGGTCTGATGGCAAACATTCCGTCACGTTATTCTAGAACTATTTGTCACTTTTGTCAAACCCTTCTATACTTATGTTACGCACTATAATACTTATATATTCCCTGATTTACTCGTTACGCGTATACAATATTTTGTTATAATTATCTATTATTTTAAGAAAAAAATTAATTCAGACACTAATTCAGTAAATCAAGGGTTAATATCCCACTTAGACTTAAGTTACGGTCTCCAACATTCACATGATAACTTCATACTTTACCCACTAACACACATAAACTTATTTTCTCACACACATTTCATTCATAATACAGTGACGATGTAATAAGAAACCAACGACTTACAGGTACCAGCCGTGTACTTTTTCTCAACTTTTTCACCATCATACACAGTTGGTATAGACTGTGGGATATAAATACTGTTATAATATAAATCAATACTGAAAAATTAGCTGTCTTTAAGAATTTTAAAAATATACTTGAAGTCAACACACGATAAAATTTCAAAGGAACGAAAAATGAAAAAAATTATTCAAACTTTTTAGTGACTACCTTGAACTGGTTGAGAAAGAATTCCTTGTTGTGTCCCAGTATGTAGACCTTTAGATTCGCGATGGGTACTGACGTATCTGTTTTGGTGGTTTCGTTCGGAAATAAACAAAACATACAATACTAATACACGACATTAATGCATATATAGGTGACGGAAGTTTATCCAAAGGTAGTTTTCTAGAAATAAAGACAAAACCCAAATAGAACACATGCACACGCACACATACACACACACACACACACACATATATATATATATATATATATACTAGCTGCATCCCGTGCTCCGCCACGGTAAATCTTTTTTAAATGTACCAACTTGGGAACAGAACAAAACTAAACACAACACAAACGAACGCAAAAAAAACAAACTAAAAAACAAACACAACACTCATAACATAGACACAATTTAAATGCAATCATACAGGCATATTGCTCACAGTCTAGCCCGTAGCGCCAAATTGCGCCCTTTCCGGTGATTTGCACCCCCCCTCAAACTTTCGATTTGCACCCCTCCCCCCCCGCCCTAAAACTCTCGATTTCCACCACCCCCCCCCCCCTCGCTAATTTTTTCCAACCCACTTTGGCGCCCCCTAAGGTCGGCACTCGGGGACATATGCCCCCTCGCTACGCCTCTCCTATAAAACCCGAAAGATAGAATAATAATTAGAAATCAGCATAAATAATAGGCAGTATTTAAAATATCCGTGTTTTACCTACAATATTTCACTTTATCCTTTTACGAAAATTTTTCCAGTACTAATAATTTTAAAAATTTACAATAGAGTTTCATAACTAAAACCATTGCGAACCTAATGAACGTGATTGCCTTTTATCAATCCATGCTAATTATAATTTTCTAACAATAATTTCCTCTTATAAATCCGAATAATTTGCATTCACATTTTGCTAATTATATTATTGCAACACTAATTCCTTCTATGACGAACGTATATTTGCATTCACATTTTTTATTAGCGTGAGTTTAATGTATTTTTAAATTACCTCCTTTGTCCAAATTAGAAAAGAGTTAAATTAATTTGATTTTTTCTACCGCACTGTTATTGTGTTATTAAAATGTATCCACTTTTTCTAGGAATATAAACGAAAATGATATTTGACATTGATCCTTTTAATATGTTTTAGCAATGTGCATGTATTTAATATTTTCTTTAAGTTATGCAAAAGAGTAAACACAGTGGAAATTATAAAATAGCTCTATGCCGCTATATAAACAAACCCTACTCTACTACTTATAATAAGACACTGCGGTGCACTGAAAAGCACAGCATCGTGCGAATGTTTACTTTTATGGTTCCAAAAGCTATAGCGATGACAGAAGGAAGGAAGGAAGGAAGGACTGACACACGCTCAGCCCGCTTATATTATAGATATATATATATATATATATATATATATATATATATATATATATATATATATATATATATATATACATATGTATATGCCTATATATGTGCTTAAACAAATGCTTATGTATGCTTATAGGTGAGCCGTTGCTCGTGCGTGTGAGTGTATGTGTGTGTGTGTTTGTGTGTGTGTGTGTTTGTGGTTATGTGTGTGTGTTTATGTGTGTGGGGAGGGGATGTATGCTTTAAAACAATAAAAAGCAGCCAGGTATACAATACAATAAGAATGAGATTGGTAGAATCAAGAGACAGAATAAAATGAAACAGAATAGAATTTACCTGGGACAGCCTCAGTCTTAACTGTTTTCATTTTTCTAGACAAATGGAGGAAATGTCTTTAAGAATATATTTATAAGGAAATCTATATATATATATATATATTTCTTTTGCTTCGTTCTTAATTCTATTAAATATTTCGTGTCAACTTGTCCTGCGCTATTTAGGCCGATGACCCTGGATTTTTTTATTTTTTTTTTTTTTGTGGTTTTCTTTTTGGTTGATTCCATAGCTTTTGTCCAACCAAGAACAAACTTTAAGGCAGCAATTGTTTGATTTTGTAGGTGCCTATCCCAGATGAGTAGCAGTACTCAGGGGTAGTCCATAAATGACGTCACACTCGTATGGGGGAGGGGGGGGGTCCGTAATTTCGTGACGGCTTGGGATGAGGGGGAGGGGGGGTTCAGATGGTGTGACGTCACACTTTTGCTTTATAAAAAAAAGCAATGTTAGAAAACGAATTTTGGACGTTATTTCGAGTTTTAAAAAACTGTTTTAATTTATTGTAATAGGAATTGATTAAAATACTCTTTTTTGACAGAGTTCAGACAAGATTTTAGAAAAATATCGATGTTTAGAAAAAAATGAAACTGCAATTTTGATTGGGGTTGTGTGACGTCATTTTAGGGGGGTCTGGCATTATATGACGACGTGTGACGGAGGGAAGGGGGGAGGGAGGTAAAAATCGTCAAAAAAGTCTGACGTCATTTATGTATGACCCCCCCCCCCCCCCACCAGCTGTTAAGCCTCGTCTGTCCGGGTTTCAAACTCGAGACCTCTCGAATATTTTCTCTTATTTAGTCTGTTCACAATAGCAAATGTATTGAAATAGAACAAGTAATTGACACGTTAAATCAGTACTCTACAGAGCGCTACGAACCTGCGTATGAATATAAAGATGACCAGGATTGCAATAAGTAATGCGGACAGCACAATCAGTAAATACAGTATATATGTATCATCCTTGTTTTCTGTAAATTATTTACATTGTGTCATGTATTAAACATGGTGTATATACATTCTTGAACCATACAGGAATGTATATACAAATGCATATGGAAACACAATACATAAATAAAAAATTAAGTAACAAATACACGAGTGAACATAACATACTCATATAAAAATACCATCGGGTCCAATATAGTGATGTTAGTTATGTAAGCAGAGTTTCTTTCAGGCATCTATTACTGGGGAGACTGAAGAAAGTCTACTGCCCCCCCACCCCCAAATTGAAATGAAATTCATATAGAAAATATATGCTTTAACCCCGGAACATTTAGTCCGCCCCACCCCCTTCCGAAAATTTCAAGTACGCCGCCCCCGATGAAAAAAGTTCGATTGAAAGAAACACTACGTACAAGGTATTGTATCTACTCCTGTAAAATGCAGACCCGTTAAAACAACAACCAATTTCATTTATTGGAATATGTATAAATTAATAATTAAATTTGTCAAAAACTATGTTAGAAAACAAATCGATTCCTTGTTCTGGATGTTCAAACTTTCTCTTGGCAAGCGTGTCTCGACCACACACTCACCCTCGGCATTTGGGTCAGCTAGAATCTTGCTTCTTAAAACACTATCTCCGCAGATGGCGTCACACAGGCGTTTGATCTCAGTAGACTCGGGCACACAATCAGGGTCGCATTGTTGTTTGCAGTTGGGCCCGAAAATTGTGTCGATACACTCTGTGGAAGTTTAAGGGTTAAATTGGTTCTAGTTAAAGGGTTAAAGTGGTTCTAAAAGGGTTAAATTTTCCCTATATAAACATTAATAATTTTTTGAAAAACGATGACTGTTTTTAAAACAATGTTATGGAACTTTGGCTCTCTATATCTGGCTCATTTTTTTCATAAAATGGATAAATGAATCGGCTATATATATGTATATATATATATATATATATATATATATATATATATATATATATATATATATATATATATATATATATATATATATAACTTTTGTATAGGATATGCTCACAAATAAAATTTAAATTGCCAACTTATATATAAAAACTAGTTTATTTAACCACACTCAAAGTATGAATTCTATTAAAATAGAAACTGTAGCCTATATAGGGCCTACTGTGTAAATGCTTTAGTTGCAATAAATTAATTTAAATACTAAGTTGCAATAAATTAATTTAAATACTTAAATCTTTACAGATTTTCTTCTGGTGTAAGATCTAAAAAAAATCCTCTTTAGCTCATTCTTTATTTTGCCCTAAATATGTGTCACTGAGATCTCTATAGATAGGCTTATCTTGAGCATGAGTAACTAAACAAAGGAAGAATAAAAACTAAAGTTAACAAGTAAATTAAAATTAAACCAAAACCAATAATCTTTTTTTTTTAAATTTGAGGGATGGAAAAGAAATTTCCATTTTAAAAATAGTTAACATCTATCACTAGATGAGACACACTTGAAGCACCAGAGGCAAAACCTAAACATTCAAACAGCTAAATCGGCTAAATGATAGGCGCGAGAGTTTCAGATCGATCAAAACGACTACATTTTAAAATTAGCTAAAATGAAAAACAAAGACAATTTTTTTTTATTTAAAACTCTACAGTAAAATCCGTATAAAGACTCCGAGCATATGCTAAAAGGAAAACAGTTTCTGTGATTCTGTTTGTATCATGTTATTACTTGTATACGGATGTAGCTTAAGGCTAGCTATACGCTATGATGTAATTGTATGTGGCTTGAGAGTGCCTACATAACAAATGCATCACTTGTATAAAATACACAAAAAATAATTTACCCTGCTCACAGTAGTCTCCCCGCCATCCAGGGGGACATCTCAAACACCGGCCTGTGATGCTGTCACAGGTCTGATTATCACATTTGACGCTGCAGTTGAAGGCACATTCCTGGCCGTAGGTTCCATGTTCGCAGTCTATAAATAGGTTTCAACAATCTTGAGATTGAGTATGATTAAACACATTTTGAGAAAGTCAAAAAAATATGTTTATCAAATTTCGAAACAGTTCTTAAGTCTGTTTAGAACATACTCAAGGCAATTTATGTAATCTTAAAACCGTCTAAAAATGATTAAATATATTTTGATAGAGTCAGAAAAATTTTTTAGATAGTCTTGAGACCGTCTAAACACTTTAATATGCTCTTTTTTTACCTTGATGAGTTTAATAATATTTTGGTATCAAACCGCTATATTAAAACATACTAATAATAATACTGGTAATACTGAAACGAAACCTAATGACGGCATACGTATCAAAACCATGATATCAGTTAAGTTAGAGAATAAAATGTTCACTTGTATAAAATACACAAAAAATAATTTACCCTGCTCACAGTAGTCTCCCCGCCATCCAGGGGGACAACTCAAACACCGGCCTGTGATGCTGTCACAGGTCTGATTCTCACATTTGACGCTGCAGTTGAAGGCACATTCCTGGCCGTAGGTTCCATGTTCGCAGTCTATAAATAGGTTTCAACAATCTTGAGATTGAGTATGTTTAAACACATTTTGAGAAAGTCAAAAAAATATGTTTATCAAATTTCGAAACAGTTCTTAAGTCTGTTTATACATACTCAAGGCAATTTATGTAATCTTAAGACCGTCTAAAAATGATTAAATATATTTTGATAGAGTCAGAAAAATGTTTTAGCTAGTCTCGAGACAGTTAATATGCTATATTTTTACCTTGATGAGTGTAATAATATTTTGGTATCAAACCGCTATATTAAAACATACTAATAATAATACTGGTAATACTGAAACGAAACCTAATGACGGCATACGTATCAAAACCATGATATCAGTTAAGTTAGAGAATAAAATGTTCACTTGTATGAAATACACAAAAAATAATTTACCCTGCTCACAGCAGTCTCCCCGCCATCCAGGCGGACAACATAAACACCGGCCTGTGATGCTGTCACAGGTCTGATTCTCACATTTGACGCTGCAGTTGAAGGCACATTCCTGGCCGTAGGTTCCTTTTTCGCATTCTATAAATTGGTTTCAACAATCTTGAGATTGAGTATGTTTAAACACATTTTGAGAAAGTCAAAAAAATATGTTTATCAAATTTCGAAACAGTTCTTAAGTATGTTTATACATACTCAAGGCAATTTACATACCGAATGCTTTACGTGTAGAAAACACACACACACATATAATATATATATATATATAAATAAATAAATAAATATATATATATATATATATATATATATATATATATATATATATATATATATATATATATATATATCTACGCGACGGCTAATATCAGAGCTACATTGTTTTAAAAAATTCTTAACTTGTGTTTCAAATATCCTCAAAGTTTAGAAATAGATTCATAAAAAAAAAAAAGTTTTACCCTGCTCACAGTAGTCTCCCCGCCATCCAGGGGGACAACTCAAACACCTGCCTGTGATGCTGTGACAGGTCTGATTCTCACATTTGACGCTGCATTTCAAGTCACAATCCTGGCCGTAGGTTCCATGTTCGCAGTCTATAAATAGGTTTCAACAATCTTGAGACAGTCTAAAAGTATGGCTAAAAGATCAATCAGAAATTGTTACCTCCGCTTCGTTTCAAATCGGTTAATTCCAAATTATCTGCTCCTAACCCGACTATACGATTGTAAACATTCGGGGTGAACCACAGCTCACCTGACAGGTTGGGATGAGGGTGGTGGCTAAGCTGCGTGGTGATTATAGTCTCCGTGAAGAGAATTATATATATAGATATTTTCCATACCAATAGTACTGTCTGTTTTTATTGTTTACCTTCTATTTACTAGTACTAGCGTGCTCTTCGGGATAGAAGAAAATCTGATGATATATGTAAGAAGCGTTCTATCAATGCGTTACCAATCATGTATTATTAGACGTGTGAGCTTTTTGTTTCTAATACTGAGTTTAAATTTAAATGTTAACAATGCCTGCGCCTATATTATATATATATATATATATATATATATATATATATATATATATATATATATATATATATATATATATATATATATATATATATATATCGGGGCACTTGTTTACCTACCGCATGAAATCATGGTGAGGTAGAACACACTGTGGTGATCGCCCAGGTTACACTACCTCAGGGGGTCCGCGTACGGTCACTGGCTGTTTAAATTTACTATAGCGCCCTGATGCTCACAAGATAACCCAGAGAGCCTAATAGCTTATTGAAATATCGCTCACGGGATACCATTGGGCATCAAATTGCGCCCTGCAGGGGCAAGTGCAAACTCGACTGGTTAAATTTATTAAACGACTATAAAGCCCTAACGTATCCATATCCGATCGTGCTTTTGAAAAAGAACGTACGCGCCATAGTGCTCTCGGGTAATCTTGTGGCACCATATCACCCCCCTGCGAGGACGCGCCTGATTCGATAAAGTCAACGATTATTGTTATTGATAAAGACACAATGTCCTTAGTGTATAGCCCTTTTTTAAACGAACGTAGGTCCTCATTTCTCACAATAGGGTTGAAGTATTAACGCTGAATATAGTAGTCTTCCTACACGCTATGATAACGGACATCAAGTGCTAAGATAGCCGATTAAGAACTCTGGGCGCCAAACCGTGTATTGACAAAAGACCCTTCCTCTTTCACAGAAAACGTCTCGAGAGTATTCTCATCAAGTATCCAAAGTTTCATGGCATTCGGATGAACGGTGTCAAACCGCATCCTATTTGTATTTTTAATACTGTATATAGAGAAAAATCGCACCCTTGCGAAATTAAAAACGTTTTTTTTTAAAGGAATCCTCACCTTTAGTGTTTTCATCTACTCCCCAAAGTTTCAAGGCGGTTGGATGATTGGTGTCAAACCGCAAACGACTTTAATTTTATATACCATGTTTATAGAATAATTGAATATCGCACTGCCGGGGTCACCACTGCGACTTTTTGAATTTAATTCTCGCAAACACCTCCCCAGGAATATTCTAAAAAACTTCCGAAAGTTTCATAAAAATAAGGTGTAGTAATGTATAAAAGACACACACACACACACAGAGATACACATACATAGCTTTATAGATAGATGAAGAGATTGCTATTTCTGGTTTTACAATTGAACCCACGGATCAAAATGTGTGGATCCTATACGTTACCTTTGTAGCAAAACGCTCGTGATGAGAAGCACTCGACGCATGAGCTCTCGACATTGTTACAGGCCTCGGGTTGGCACTTACGCTGGAACTTAGAGGCACATCCTTGGTCGAAATAGGGATTGGTGCATACTAAAAACATGTACAACGTATCATTAGTAATATCAGAGTTATCAAAAAGCCCCCTATTACACTACCGCAGGCTCACCGCGTACGGCACATGGCTTCTCAATACTAACATATGTGCAATAGTGCTCACAGGATAACCCATACCGCCAATTAGCATCCTGAAACAATAATGCAGATTGCGTCATCGCTATAGTGATACAAATCAATAGGATTTTTTTCTTTAACATGTAGGAAAAAAATTATTTGAAGTGTTATAAACATCAGTTATGACTGATGCAACTTGTTAGCGGTATTAGTGGTTTTTTATTATATGCTCGATCTCAAGTTCTAATTGGTCGTCTACCCACACTAATGCATGAAAATATAGTGTATATATATATATATATATATATATATATATATATATATATATATATATATATATATATATATATATATATATATATACACTACAGTATCTAACGTTAGACCACTTAGCCCCTACAAAAACCTCAATAAATAATCTACTTCTGAAGTAACAACAACTGATGTTCTTAGATCTCAACCCATTTGTGTAGCATGTTATGTAATTTATGTCAATCTTGGTTAAGCAGGGAAGTTATCAGACACATACAATTGCTACCCCCTCAAATTTTTTTACCTACATAATACCAAGCCCTCACCATAAAACTCCATCTCTTTGTAGGTAACATAGATTGCTGCTCTTAGATCTCAGCCGACAAGAGATAACATCTCTAATGTAATTTATTGCCCTAAAGGCGCAGCACGGAAACAATGGTGAAATCAGTATGACTAATCTGCTTCTAAATTTAACTAACCTCAATCCAGTATCAGATACATATTATTAGACACATATTAGGTAGGACTAATTAATTTATTAAAGCCTTTTAAAACAAAAATAGTAACAACTATTAAAATTAAATTCAAGGAGCGGATTCTAGGTTTAAGTCTCGTCACACAATCTATTTCAATTTCAGATAATTTTGTTTGCTAACTAAAATAATTAGAATCTACAGCTAGATTCTAGATATTTCAGACAATTATATTTTTTTTTATTATTATGTCTATTTGTTTTTATTAATTATTGAATTATTTTGAATCGAATATAGATCTCAATGTTTTTTTTTAATTAAATTTAATTTTTCTTGTAGTTTAATTTAATTGAATAAGTAGATTTTAGATTCTGTGTCTACCTAGCGTAGCCAGTTTCGTGGACAACATGATTAGATTTTGAGCTAGATTTTATATCTTAATATTAAATAAATATTCCAATTAAATGTTATTATATTTTTTGACGTAGGTGAATGTCAAGCGTATTTGTTTTATTAACAGAAGTCTTGTGTTAATTAAAACGAAGTTTATTGTTTACTGTCCCTAACAAAAGCAAAGTGTCGAGAACATATTCGCATTTGATTTGCCGCTGCTTCACTCACGCCACTTTGATAAATATTGGCTAACAATTGACAGCGTCTACGTTCTGTTAATTGTCGATCTCTATCACCTTAGTTTCATATAACTCTTGGCTGTCGAAGTAAACGAATTCCTTTAGATCTGCAACTTCTTGTATCACAGCCTTTTACAGCACAGATTGTCATTTTGAATGTGGATCCGTAACGTCATATCAAGGACTCTATACCAGGCATGGATGTTTGTCAAATACAGACATAACCCATAAATCCAACTCTAACTTTAACCATAAACAGTGAGTTTGCTTGTGTGTTTGCATTGTGTTTGTGCTTTTATTTGTGTTTCTATTTACGTTTGTTTTTTCTTTTGTGTTTGTGTGTGTGTGTTGCGTTTGTGTTTTCGTTTGTGTTTGTTTTTGCATTGTATATATATATATGTATATATATATATATATATATATATATATATATATATATATATATATATATATATATATATATATATATATATATATACATACATATAGCTCAAATGGTTTATGTGGCTCTGTATGAGGCGTAAAGCGGACAGAGCACGGTGCCTAAAGTGTTTATTATCTAAAATAATGATTAGAAAAATTATTATAATATGAGGTTTTGTAAAACAAGTTTCATTTCCTAAACGTATAATTTTAAATAAAGTCATGTGGAAAAAATAAAGTCAAAGAATTTGAATCATCTTTCAAAAAAAAAAATTTAAGTGTTATTTTTAATTACTTGCCTTCATTGATCACAAAAGTTTTTTACTTATCTTTATGAAAAAATATTATATCGGGGGTGGGGGGGGGATACTTTTTATTATTTTGTCTTGATGTTAAAAAATGTAAATAATTTGCGTTGATTGATCAAGTGTAATTTGGTAGGTAAAGCACGGATATTGTAAATACTGACTTTAATTTATTTTATACACAGAACGCACTGCACTGTTTACTAATTATTTTTAATCAATAACAGTTAAGAAGCCGCTACTAAATGTCCTCTATGTTTGCGGACAAGCTAGTGGTATTAAAGTTGTTCACTAAATTGAATCAGGCGTGTCCGCCGGTGCCCCGGCTATGTTCGATTTGCCGCCCTGTGTTATCTTGTAAGCGCTATGGTGCAAATGTTTATATTAAAGAGTGCGATAGGCTGTGAATAAAAAGTGTTACTATAGTTGCACTACAAATCAAATGCAGAACATCAGTTTGGCGTCCCGACAGGGTGCAATTTAGCGCCCCGGGCATTCTCTTGAGCTCTATGGTGCCTAAGTTTGTTTTAAACTGTGCGATAGACAATGTATAAGAAGGGTTACAATGGCCATTATTTAATTCGAAACTGGTCATCCTCTAGCTCTCCGGGAATTCCCGTGATTGCTATGGCACCGACATTCGGTTTGAACTGTTTGATAGCTTACGGATAAGATGGAGTAATTTAGTTGTTTACCAAGTTGAATCAGGTGGATCAGCCGTTGCCCCGGCAGGGTGATGTTTGGCGCCCTGGGCTATACTTTGAGCACTATGCTTTTATGTTAACATTTAAGTTTGTCTTATATTCCTGGTTACTGTTTGCGTTTAGGTTTATGTTTGTGTTTGATTTTGTGTTTGTGTTTGTGTTGGCATTTGCGCTTGCGTTTGTGTTGGCGATTGTACTTATGTTTATGTTTATGTTTTCGTTGTGTTTGTCTTTATGTTTCCGTTAGTGTTGGTGTTTGTGTTTATTTTCGTATTTGCATTTTTGTTTGGCGTTACGTTTGTGCTTGTGCTTTCGTTGTTTTTTTTTCGTTTAGGTTTGCGTTTATTTTATGTTTGCGTTTGTTTAT